ATGGATTCTCCTAACTTCCTTTTTTTTTTAGGATAATTTTTATTATTCTTTATTACTGACTATGATTTTATTGTAGTTCTCATGTTTATTTGATCAGGGTGCGCAGCCAGATTTTTAAACAAAAAATAAGGACCTTTTAAGTACTTTTTAAGCACTCAAATAATATTTTTAACCACTTTCCAAAAAAAAAAAAAAAATTATAATTAGGATCCGTGCAGTAATAAAAATTATTTTTGTCTATCGTTTAAAGTTCTTAATTCATAAAAAGGAATTTTTAAAAAAATCAAAAACATTTTCAAAAACTTTACATAATCAGGATAAAATAACTAGATTTTGATAAATATTGCAGAGAAAATTGTAAAAAATCTTGCATTTTTTTTGTTTTACTTAGAACGACAACCAACACGGCAAAAAAAAAATCTCATTTTCAAAGACAGAAAACTAAGCACTTTTTACAAACCCCAAATAAATAAAAAAGCACCTTTAGGGGTTTTTAAAAACGTAAATCAAAAATAACTACTTTTAAGCCCTTTTTAAAAACTCTAAGCACCCTGTTGATAATAAACCTTAGTGAAGAATTGTTGTTAGTTAGGTCTTTTAATCAAACGTTTATTTCTTCATATGGCAGATAAGTGATTTTTTCCCTTTAAAATATAATTAGGTAAGAACAAAATAAAATATCCTTACCATAATTCAAATGATCAAAAAAAGTTTACTAAAAATTCTGTTGCTGTTTTTCGAAAGCAACTACAACGAGATTTGCATCCATTAAAGGAAGATTACCTGATTAAAAACATCCGTCGCTTCAAAAATATACAAATTGGAAAAAACAGTCGAAAGGTTCCAAGCGCTCAAAAACAGACGCCCATGTACAAAACTTGCCAGATGTAAATGAGAAAAAATAAAATTTGAAAAATAAAAGTAATTTGAAAAATAAAACGCAAAGTTGCCAACGAAAAAAATAAACGTGAGAAACAAACTAGAAAAACCCCAGTAGTCGAGAAAGAAAAAATAAGAAAAACAGAAAAACCACAATTGCAGAGAGGGGTAAATCAGGGTAAAATGCATTTCCACGCGCTATGGAGAAGCGGTGAGGGAGGCATCAAGAGGAGCTGATGTGACTAGGGTGGAAATAATTATTTTCATCCTAGACGCATANGTTTTATATTTCAAATCCTTTTTGTTTCTTCTCATTCACGCATGGCAAGTCTTGAAAATGGGAGCCTGTTTTTGAGAGCTTGAAACATGTCAACTGTTATTTCCAATTTTAATCCATTTTTAATTAATTTTCTTACCGCTTCAATTTCTTGGGATAATTTATTTAACATTAAAGTGAGAGTAAAAAAATTATCTTTAATTCTCCCGAAAAAAAATTATCTTCAATTCTCCCGAAAAAAAAATTATCTTCAATTCTCCCGTTCCCGCACTTTTTTTTGCAAATAAATTTTTTTTTAGCGGAACGGATTTAGTAAATATTTAAACAGAGACAACGTATTGTTACTTCCTAAAATATGATACAACTGTTTTCGTTTTATGAACACCTGATTTTTATTTTTATTTTTTATCATTAACAGATAAGGATGATTTTCTCTCTAAAATATAAGAGCATCATAAAGATTAAGTGCCATAGAGAGAAGAAAATTTAGCTTAAAATAGAACTGTAAATGTTAAGATGGTGATAAACTTTTGACGCAGAATTTTTATTAAAATTTTTAATATTTTTTTTCATTATTTTGTATTAATTTAGGTCAAAATAAGTGAAAAATATTATATTTATCATTTTAATAACTTAAATTCATGAAATACGGTGTCTTTTTCTCGTTAAAAATAAAATCTTCCAAACAAGACTCACTTCTACACAATATTTTTTTAAAATTTGCACTTATTTAGAGTTATTTAGATCTAAGCGAAACAGTTAATCATTATTGAAATGCCTTTAATTTACAAAATCAATTATTGATAGATGTTTGAATATGAATGTTGATTTTTGATTATGAATGAAAAGAATTTTTTTTTCTAACTACTTTTATGGAAATTAAATTTTAGTACAAATATAGTTCCGATAATCTAACAGATTTTTTTTAGCAACTATTAGACTGTTTTTTATAATTAAAAAATAGCAAAATATATTTTTTCTCGGAATTAGAGCGCCAGAAAAAAAAATTCATCTGCGTCAAAGAGTTAATTTCTTCAATCAATCATTAACTTAGATCGATCGTTTAACTTAGATCGATTTTCGATCATTTTAACAAAGAACAGAAATCCATGATTGTTTCAAGATAAAAACAAAATTTTTTTAACGATGAAAGTTATGTAAATTAAAGAAATTTGTATTGAACTTATTTTGTAGCCAGGAATCAAGTAATTCACAATCGTACTGGCTAAAAAAAAACTAACAGAATCTGCCCGATCTTGTGGTTGAGTAGTTATAATAATAAATAACTTAAAAAATAAAAGTTTCAGAAAAAAAAACAGTGAGAGAGATTCGTCGCATAATAGATAATATATCTACTGAATAGATAATTTATCTATTCAGTAGATAATTGAATAGATAATTTATCTACTCTTAAAATTCGCCATCTAGTTTCTAAGTACATTATATTTTGGGTGTCCCAGCGATGGCAGCACAACTTTCACATTACAAAAATATATAATTTCTTAAAAACATGTAAAAATAGAAACATTATTGATATATTACAACTATTAATGAAAAATGTGTAAAGTCAACAAATACAATGGGTATTTAGTCTTACCATACAATAGTTAATCAATTAAAATTCTATTCAAAACTATTTTTTCCTTCAAAAAACTATGGGGAAATCTCGTCAGAATAGAACCTAGCATTGTGACAAACAAGCCTTCGTGGAGGACTTCTTGATGGAACTTACCCGCATTTGCGTTACATCGTGAATAAAACCACGAAACTCTAACCAAAGATCCGTCTACCATTAAGTATATTTTACGTCAGCACTGGGTGAGCCAGAATTGGTATCGACCAGCCGTTGATGTGATTCGAACCTGGTTTGGGAAAGTATTAGGAATTATCGGGCTTTATTTTTAAGGCTTTATCACGCAGTTGACAGTCAGGATCAATTATCCTCCCTCTCCGGAGTTTCCGCCTTATCGGGGAAAACCTGTCACCACCCCTGAATTGGAAATTCCTATTAAAGGCGAATCGTTTTTTACTTCCTATTTTATAACGAATGTTGATATGTAAATCAACATTCGTATCCCATTTTTTTAGTATTTTGTTTACTATAAATGTCAGTAATCTTAGTTAATCTAGATTCAGTACGATTTATATAATTTTAAATATTTATGAACGAAATCAAAGGCAGAAAAAGTAGGTAAAAACAACTGAATAAATTGGTGGAAAAAAAAAACAATAAATGAAGACTGTAGTAGAATCAGTAGTCCTCCTATTAATCAATACAAGTGAACAGTTATTATTCAAACGTTAAAACAACGTCTCATAAACAGAATAATGTCAGTAATCTTAGTCAATCTGGATTCAGTACTATTTATATACTTATAAATATTTGTTTTCGGAACAGAGTTGTAAAAAAACTTGGTAATAACGATTGAATATATTGGTAAAAAATAAATAAATAAATAAAGTAAAATAAAAAACATTAATCAATACAAGAAAACAGTTAGTATACAAATGTTAAAATTAACGTACCAAAATAAATAAAAAAAGTAAAATAAAAAACATTAATCAATACAAGTAAACAGTTAGTATTCAAATGTTAAAATTAACGTACTAAAAGTCAGAGTAAACAAACAAGACCATAACTATTAGTCTATTGCATGCACACAGATAAATAAAATGACGGTAAAAGCCTCTGTTATTGTCGGATGATTTGAACCAAACAAATGAAAAAATGATACAGAGAAAAATTTAAATTTTGCCCGGTAATAAAATTGAAATTATGAAACACAATAATATTAAAAGTAAATCTTACTTAAAATAGTATTTAATATGAATGGAAGATTTGGAATTTCTATTAAGAACTTTAATATAACAAATGTTTATCTTGTAATATGATTTAAGAGTTCATGATTTCTCTATTAATAAAAAACACAAAATTCAAAAAGTATATATATATATATATATATTTCAAATTATGTTTATATTTATATGTGTCAATTTTAGTTTCGATATTCAAATGTTTATTTACCCAAGCAAAGTGCTTGTAATTTTGTANATATATATAATTTTTTTTTTTTTTTTTCCTTGACTTTACATTTTTTATAAGAAATTTTTGTTAAATAAAAGATCATAATCATGTTTCATCTCAAATATCAACTTTGTTCTTTTCATCAATATAATATAAATAATTTAAAAATTATTTATTTATTAATTAAATCTTTGATTGAAACTTTTATTACCTAAAGATTATGCCAAAGAAATAAGTATAGACACGTAAACAACCACAGTGATAAGCATGCCAAACAACAACAAGCCTCAAATATTAAAGAACTGTTTTGTTAAAATATATATATTTACTCCTATTTTAAAATAGATTTTAAAAAAATATAATAAAAAAATTTCTTTAAAGAAAATAAAAAAAAAAAAAAGAAAAGCACTTGTTTTACGAAAAAAAAGACTAAACTAATATAAATAAAAGGAAAAATATACAAATATTACTCTTAAAAATAACTTCCATTAATTAAAATATGATAATCATATTTTGTCGCGCTGAAAATTAAAAATCGATAAATAAGCAAATCTTAAAAATGCATATAAATATCACACATTTAATTTGCATTCAAAACTGAAAATAATGTAAAGGCTTTTCAGTAATCCTGAAAAATAAATTTAATACGTTTCAAAATTTTAAATTGGCACTTCTTCGAACTATTTATTCTTAATTTAAGAAGCCGACACAAAACATAGTATCGGACATGTGTTGCATCTTCTAGCAATATTTTTAAGATAAAACTATTTAAAACAAATGTAGAAATGTTAATAGTTAAGAATGGTAAAGTTTACTTACATATAAAGTAGCTCTTAATCTCATAATATCAAAATCTTGACGTATTCATAACAAAAAGCACGGCACATTTTCTCCAGCCCTTAGTTTCGAAATCGTTTGCACCGCAACAAACCGTCTCTCTGACACAACATTCAAACGCGAGAACTCAACAACTGATATTAGTCGCCAAATTCTAAATATCGCCAAGTAAAGGTTGCCTTGCAGCGTACAATAAAAGTTAAATTTTCCGGAGAGAAAGTGCTTAGAAAACCTCATTCATATTCAGGCGCTATGATCGGTTTTATTTTATGTTGTTCCATTAAGAATATTATCTGGATGCGCCAAGTTCATGATAAAAATCCTTGCTGAGGGACTGCATTTTTATTTTATTCCAAAAGATCTGCGAAATTAGCCAGCCTAATTTAGAAAAGGTCACTTTCCATAGATTTGAATAAATTTCACTTCAAACTTTAATCAGTTCTTTAATCACCCAACAATCTAAGAAAGGCATTTAAAGAAATATTGCGAACACGCTTCAATCATACAACATAACCATTAAGATTAAGTTAACGATTTACATTCGATGAAATATCTTGAACTTCGCTTAAATTTTGGAAAGATATTGTTTGGTTATTCGAAACATTACTATATGTTGAATCAAGATAAGTTTTTGTTTACTTATCGCATAAAAAACTTGCCCGTTTTTACTTTGATAAATTTTTCAACCGCTTTTTTTTAATGGTTTAATTTCAAGTTGACATATTAAAACTTAAACCTTTACAATTTTTATATTTTACCAGATAACTCTATTTGAATTTTACTGATGTTAAAAAAAGAAATAAAACCTTTTTTTTAATACATAACATTTGTTCAGAAATGATAATTCCCTTTTAAGATGTTCTATTTTATGAATTTTCATTATTAATCTGTTGTACAATAACTGTTATTGCATATAGTACAACTTAGTATTTTATAAGTTACTGAAATATCAGTGGCTATAGTTTTCGTGTAAACAGAATAACCAAAAATACAATACGTACATGGAAAATTTAATGAAAGTTCCAAAAAAAAATTTGAAAAATAATTTATATATATATTTAAATTGCCATATTTTCACCAATTATTTTATACAATGACAACTAAAAGCACAAACTTTATTTTTTCCTAACAATTTTAATTAACTGTTAGATAAGTCAATCTATTTTTAATGTATTTTTTATTTTATTTAAATTTATATCGATAAGTTTGTTTTCTACTTTTTCTTCTTTCATTTAAAACTCATATACAATTACATCAATACTTTTTTAATAGGCATTTGTGTATAATAAAGAGTAATTTTTGCTTTGTTTTCATACATATACATCAAATGNTTTTCAGAATATGAAAGATTTTGCTAGAAGTTTTTAAAAATGATGATAGTTTAAATCATACAAATGTCAGAACTGGAAAAATGAGAAGAGTAAGTTAATAACAAAATGAATAGAAAACAAAGGAAAATTACAGACATATGAAAAAAGGGGGGTAAGAAAAATAATAATAAAAAAATAACAAACAACTGGAGGGGAGGAGGAAAAAAAAAGGATAAAATTGTTTTAAAAAATCCGGAAAATAAGAGATATAATCCCTTCATTAGCCCACACGATTATATCCGCAAGAAAGAGTGTAAGAGTGTAAAAAATTTTTATCCTTTTTTCTTCCCAGTTGTTTGTTATTTTTTTTTTAATTATTATTTTTCTTCCCCCCTTTTTTTCCATATGTCTGTAGTTTTCCTTTGTTCCTTTGTTTTATCTTCATTTTGAACTTATCTAATGAGTTCTGTTTACTTACAGCTTATGCGCAATAAATGAAATTTATTGTTTTTCTTAATTTTCCTCGTGTTTTTTTTGTATTTGTTTATTTTGTTTTATATATATATATATATATAATGAATTGTACACCGATGTAAGATTAATACACGGAGGTTAGGTATAACATTAACGTCTTAATACAACATTTAGATCTTTGCTTACGTTTTATTTACTATGCATTATATTTTACGTAAGTTTTTAATTATAAATCTAGAAAAAAAGAATCCTGCATGAAACTGAATTTTTTTAAGAAAATAAAATTAATATAGGTGTAATATTTTTATTTAACTTTTTGAAAAAGATGTGAAAGCAAAATATTTCTTTTAGGAAACTCCTCTTTATTCTAGAAACAAATAACAAAAAGAACAATTTATTTTTCACCTTAGCCTTCCAGTATGTCAACACTTTTCATTCATTTTTATTTTTTTCAACAGTCGTTAAAAGTTTTTTCTTTTCGTAAAAACTTCACGCGTAAGGAGCCAATTGTGCACAAAATATGTAAAAAAACTTTTGTAGGTCTATAGATTTTTTTTTATTGCGGAGATGCAAAATAAATTGGAAGAAAACTAAGTTTCAACGAAAGCACATCAATATTCAATATATACAATGAAGAAGTTTGGAAAATCAGTTTTAAATTGTATAAAAACTCACACCAGGAAGTTGTAAATAATCTTAATCGTTATTCGTAAATGTAAAGAATGTTAATGTTCTGGTTAAATTAATGTTCTGATTAAATTAAGATTGATACTGCAAGGATGTAAAACAAATTGAAAAAGACTAAATTTGAAAGAAAGGCATCAACATATACATTAATGAAGTTGATAAAATCAGCTTTCGTTTGGGTAGAAAAACGCAAAAAGAAACTTTTGAATATTTTTTTTCCATTTTAAATGTATAGATTGGGTAAAATAATTTAATATTCTGATCAAATAAGGATTAATTGACATGAAAAATAATTAAAATAAGTTAATATTCGTGGTTTTTTTTGTACATAGTTATGAATAAAAACTCGCATGTTTTAATTTTCAGCCAAGAATGCGAACTTTTCAGTTTTATGAAACTCCTTTAGTTACTACGTTCTAAAACCCAGCCATAGTTAGCCTTATTATTATATCCATTTTTAAATCACGCATTTTAAATTTAAAGCATCTTTTTTAAAGACTGGCAAAATTAACTAATGTTTCGAATAAATTAAGATTAATTAATGTAAACAATAATTAATGTAAATTAATATTCACGATGTCTTGTGTATACATGGTTATGTAAAGAACTTTGTTTATTAATTTCATAATTTGCAATAAAGCGAATTTTCATGTTTAATGAAATTTTTATAGTTATGCAAAGTCTAAAAGATCGGTCATAATTTGCATTTTTTAATCCATTGTTTTTCCCTCTTTAAATTTTATATTCATTTTAAAATGATATTTGGTGTAAAAATTGACAGAATATGGGTTAATTTAAGTTTAAAATGTCTAAATTATGTCCACCAAATTCTATACGTTTTTTTGGTGGTTTTATATAAAGAATTTGTTTTTTTTTTGTGGAATTTGGCGAAAGAATAAATTCAATATCAATGAAAACTAAATACAATAAAGTGTTTATTTAATAGTCTTCATTGAAACTCAAAAATAATAAATAAAACGGTCCATTTGTTTGTAATATTTCACACAGTAACATCTGACAGTACGCCAAGCGAAGATTAAAAATAATTTTTGTGTGTGAAATTTTATTTCCATTAGAATCCACCAGACAAAGGAGAAAGGGTGAGTAACAAAAATGCTTAAGTCACGTGGATTTAAAAGGTGAATGAAATAATTTACTAACAAAACGGAAGTAAGTAATTTAGAAAGATGGTCAATGAATTTTAGAAATGGAAAATTAAGATATGATAAGACTCCTTCTGTAATTCATATATTTATCCTCTACATTGGCAAAATATTTTATTCTTTCTTTGAAAGAAGGAATTAAAGATTGGCGACATAATCTCTCCAGATGTACATGAATCTGAGAAGAAACTAGACGCCTAGACTGATTGCGTATAGTGTTAGATTATGGGTATTAGCTTGTGCGAACGCTAAAGAGCTCAAAACTGCTTTTATGTTACTTAACGTTCATCATGAAATGATATTTAATATGCTTTAAATCTTATTAAATTATAATTATATATTACAATTATTTCCTTTATTAAAAATTAATTTTAAGGGGAATCGTTTGTAAAAATGAGCAAATTGAATGTGTAGTTAATATTGAGAAACACTGAATTAATTATATTAAAAAAACTACTTTTTCAATTTTTAAGTGCTTTAGAATATTTTATGATGTTTTTAAAATTTTGTTTTTTGAGTTTAATTTTAATAAACTATGAATAATAATAATCATTTCTTATTCAATTTATTTTACTAAAAATTTATTTTTAAGGGGTACCGTATGAAAAAATGAACAAATTTGATGTAGTTAATGTAAATAAATACTGAATCAACTATGAAAAAAAATTTTTTTTTTAGTTCCTAACTATTCTAGAATATTTTCACGAGGTTTTTAAAATTTTGATTTTTAAATTTGAAACGTGCGAAATTTTTTAACAAAAAACTGAGTAAAAAATGCAGTCAATATGTAAAAAAATAGAAAAAAAAACCGTAATTTCAATAAAACGTGGTATAAAAATGTGCCTCATAACGGAAAAAAGAGTAAAATATAACATAATAAGAATAATCGAAACATAAGAATTAACGAAAAAGTTCTCGAAAATTTAGTATTTTTTGACAAAAACTGCAACAAGTTTTATATTTTTACATGGGCTTATAAATATTATTAAGCTCTATGGAATACCTGATTGTCCTTAACTACAGCTTTAAGAGTTGTTGCAGATAACACTTAAAAAAATACATTTTTTTCTTATATACATATATATATATATACACATACATGCATATACATACATACATATACATATAGTACATATATATACATATACATACATATATATACATATACATACATATATACATATACATACATATATACATATACACACATATACATATATTATATATATATATAATGGTTCTGATCAAAATATGAAACAATTTTATGAAGGAATTAAAAAAAAAAATGCCAGCGGATTATATGCTCTTAAAAAGTACAGAACCTTCCATTATTTTTTTTCATTCCATTTTCGTGACTGGCCAATAAATTCAAATAATAAAAATGAATAAAAGATTATCTTCAGTAGAAGACATTAAACTGAAATTTTAGGTTGCAGCGTAAAAGATACGACATAAACGATAAATGTAAATTATTTCTTCGTTCTCTACTAAACAACAAAAGTATTTTTTTTTAGAACTCCAATACAAATCATCATTTAAATAGATAAAAGTATTTTAACAATGGAACAATGTATCACAAAATAAGGAAATGGTTATTTTTTTAAAAAGTAAAACAGATCTGAGTTTTAAAATAGTATATACATTTGGTAATAACATTTACAAGTAACTTAAATATAGTAAAATATCAACTGTTAATGTTGATATCATTGTCAGTTTTCATTATTGAACAGTATTTTTTCACAGTATTAATACCTAGTCATTCAATAAAATAACATTTTTAATAAAAAAAGTAAATGTATTTTTATTACTAATATTTATATTATATTATAGTTATA